TTCTAAATACCAATCGGATTGTGTTTTAAGATTTACCCATTCTTGTCCATTTTCAATATACCTATAAAAGGGTGGTCCAAAATCTCCCTAAAATTTAGATTTCCCGATATTGCAATATAAAGATTTTAATTACTGAACAATTGAAAATATTTTTAAGAAACGTTTAAAGTGCCCTATCCTTGAAAAAATGTTAAAATGCGAAAGGATGGGTGATGTCAATTATATTATTTTCAGCATAACGTTAGAAACATGTATCATTTTATATGGTACACGTTTCATAATGTAATCCAATGGAATCATACAGAAGAAAGGTTGACACACAACAGTTAGAATCTTTATATTACATTATCAGACCAAGTCAGTAGATGTTGTTTATATACCAATTAGTGTTGTATGATGATGCATTCTTTATATGAATCTAGAAATGTTTTTGTGCCAATATTGCTCAATTTTGATAACATCTCCGTTATTTTGAAATTAAGCGTGGCAAAGTTTCCCGATGGATTTAGCTAAAAAAAGTGGTGCCTGTAGGCTTATTGAAAATCATACACGATGAAGAAAAAATACATATTCCTGAAATACAACAGTTTAATTTTGAGTTATAAACCATATATGAAAACGGCATATTTGTCAAAATTACCAAAACTTCAAGTGAGACGCGTGGCAAAATTTCCCAGGGGTCTAGAGTGGAAATATTTGTACCAAGAGTCAATTTGTAACTAGAATCTATCAGATGACAGATTTTTGGAAAATTTTGCAGATTTGGATCAACTTTTTGTTAAATAAAGATGGCAAATTCAGCTGTCTACTGTACCTAACTTGTACTTTTTCTAGTACTCAGATTGATGGATATTCTGTTGTATGACATGCAACAAACATATCAATTCTCATGGGTTTACATGGGAATGTCGATTTTCAAAAATTCATCAGATTTATCATCCATTTTCGATCTATTGTAATTGAGGAAAACATCAAGAAAATTTGGAGGTATTGGGAATAAAGTCAAGTTATATTTCCGTCAATTTTATAAGTATTTCCCCCGCAGGTTATGTGGATAAAAATTCAAACATAAATAGGCTTTAACACGTAGTTCAATGGGGAGCTAAGGTTGCCAAACTTATGGAGGGGACAGTATCATGTAAACAGGCCTGTCAACTGTCCCGCAATTTGCGTATTTGTCACGCATTTGCTGAAGAATTTGAAGTCACGCCAGTTTTTTTTGCGCGAAAAATTTGAGGTGTTCAAAGTTTGGCAAAGGTGCACAAACTTTGGCCAAAGGTGTTTAAAAGTTGGCCAAAGGTGTTCAAAATTTGGACAAAAGTGTTCAGATTTGGACTTAGGTGTCCAACATTTTGAAGTCACTCATATTAGGTGGTCCCAAGTTGACAGCCCTGTGTAAAAGTATATTTTGTCACCAATTACACGAAACCTGCTACTGCATTATTGAAACTATTATCCCGGTAAAGGACATGTTTCAGATTCTATTACCGCCTCCCCATGAAAAAATATAAATTCATCTGATATTTCAAAATCAAATGTACAGGTTTAATTATAACATTTATGTGTACACTTGTATCCTGTTGACCTATATTCAGCACTGTATTGATGGTTAGACCATTTATTGTTGTCATATTCAATGCATGAAGTGAGAGGCGTGTGTGCTACTAACGAGAAAGTAATTTTGTGTCTATCAAAATCCATTTGCATCCTACGCATCCCAATTTCTTATCCAAATATGCTGTTAAATTATGTAATATAATATTATAATCTTTAGATTTACAAAGTTGTATGATATTTGATAAATGCAAAAGTTGTTTTCTGGAGCATTTTTCTCTAGCCGTTTTGTAGGGAAAAATCTATGAAAAAATTGTATAATCTTTTAATTTTAAGTATGACCTGAACCAACCTCAAACTTCATATTTGCACATCTGATGTGATATACCATTTGTGTCATTTTGTGAAAATATTTAGTTTGAGGTCCGTTCAGGTCATAGTGTATTTTTGTTATTTTTGTGATAATCAATGGAAACCAATGGCCACTTTTGAGATATGATGATATCCCTATGTTAAGTCAATGGTGCACATCTCTATGTTAGTCAATACACCCTTGCTGAACTAAATTACCAAAATCTCAGCCTATGTGTGTCCAAACACTTAGATATTTTCTAATACATTTTGTGACACTGTATTCTTCATTTTACACCTAATAATAATTGATTCTGCCCATGGGGGTATTTGCCTCTTATTGCACCCCGCCCTTTCAAATGATTACACTGATTGCACTGGAAGAAAGTATTTAACTCTTCAGTGAGAAGGTAGCTTACTTCATCTTACCGCCATTTCGAGTTCGTAGAAGTTTCAGTTATGGTAAGGACAAACAGAACACTGTGTTTCTATATCCCCTATTTTAATTTGCTAACTCACATTGTGTTTAGTTCTCAAGTATGATAACAAGTCAAGCATACGTCTATTGAGACAGGTTATCTTATAAAACATTGAATTCTGACATTTTTCAAATAGAAACATTGAATATAATTTTGCCTCGTCAATTCTTTAATCTTACCAGAGTTGGTAGATAGAATTTCTTAGAGTAATCACTTGATTGATATCATCTTAATTTTATTTTCACGTAACCAAGCCTAACAAACACAACACTTGTGCCCATTGTGAAGGAAAATTCTACGCGGGGAAGGAGGATCTGATCATACACATGAGGAGCAAACACGGGTGTAAAAGCGTAGGTGGTCCTATCAAATTATGGTCCTAGTCTCTATTGATTTATATGGTGACCTGATTACAATTTATTTTCCTTATTATTTATACACAATCAGGGCCAGAAAGGGCCGTTAGGAAAGGGGACCATAATCCCCAGGGGACCATAATTTCTTTCACACCGGCTTTGTTAGTACTTTGCCTTGGATGTCATACAGTACATTTACACTGTGGCATGATGATGAACTTAGAAAATATGTATAGTCATGAAAAAATGTTCTTTGTGATATAATATTGTATAGTATCATTCTGATAAGTATTACATGTTTATGTTTAGTGCATAAAATTCATAGCCAGTATTAGTCAAATTTTAAGAGATGTGTGGATGATTTAGAAACTGCTGCGTTTGATGCCCAAAAATCAAAACGTAGCGATGGAAGGTTGTAATGGGAGTCCATTCTGAAATTATGAGCGAGAATGGGTAAAAGACTGGCAAGATAACTTGACTTACAGTTGAAAGTTATGAAAATTTGCTTTATCTCACAGCTGGGGACCAAAACGCCGCTAAAACGAGGTACTTTGTACACGAAAACAATGTATCGACTGAAAGGTATTTCTGTGAAGCTTTGTACGGAACAAGTTTGAAGAAAAACGGTGAAGTGTGAGACTCACAATCCTTGATTTTCAAACACTGGGGTAGGTTTTAAATTCAAATTAACGGTTTTTCGGGACGGAGTGGTTTCAATACGTCCCAAAGAGATACTACCGCGTGCACATGTGTCTCTAAGAAGATGTAAAGGATGACAGACAGCACCAAGTGCATATGTAAAAATGAGCAGATGTCACAGATTTCAGTAGCCAAAACTTGCAATATCTTTAACTAGATGTGACAAAATCAGGTGTGAGACAATTGTACGTAATACATCTTAATGAAGGAATCTCTACTTCTCAAAAAATAAATTAAAAAAAGAATTCCCTATATCAATTAACTATTATTTCAAAATAATGTTAAGGCATTCAGTATAGGAATAGAATAAAGAGCTGTTTAAAGCCAAAACTTGCAATATCTTTAACTAGATGTGACAAAATCATAGTTGAGACAATTGTTTGTAATTCTTCTTGATGAAGCCATCTCGACTTGTCTAGGTGTAACTTTAAAAAAAGATTAACCTAAAATAAATGACTATTATCTTAAAATAATGTTCCTATTTAATATTTTTCAAAGAGACAATTACAGTTAACTTTTGATACTCAACATGTGTCTCTTACAAGATGTGAAAGATGACAGCACCAAGAGCATACATAAAAATTAGCAAATGTGACGAATTTCAGTACATAAATAAAATACAGTGCAGTTTGGAGCCAAAACTTTCAACATCTATAACTAGATGTGAGAACATCATATGTGAGACAATTTTATGTAATATTTCTTAATGAAGCCATCTCGACTTCTCAAAAAATAAATTAAAAAAAATATTTTCCCAAAACAATTGACTATTATTTCAAAATAATGTGATGGCATTCAGTATAGGAATAGAATACAGGGCTGTTTAGAGCCAAAACTTCCAATATCTTTAACTAGATGTGACAAAATCATAGGTGAGATAATTTTATGTAATACCTCTTGATGAAGCCATCTTCTTTTGGTAACAAAATGTCGGAACATTCGGAAGGTACGATTTTTCTCGTTTCCTTATTTTACACTTGTAGGCAGAATTCCCACAACATTTTTTAACACAAACGTGTCTCAGTATCATATGTTTAAGAAAGTGTACATATTTGCGAACAAATAGTTCAGAAGACAACAGAATCGTCGATTTACTTCCTCACTTAAGTTACATAAACGGTTTGGGTTAAAAGTGCAGAACTTAACTGTTTTTCGAAAAACCGTTTATGTAACTTAAGTGAGGAAGTAAATCGACGATTCTGTTGTCCTCTGAGCTATTTTATCGCAAACATGTACCTTTTCTAAATTAAAACATATGATACTGATGCACGTTGTGAGAAAAAAACGTCGTGGGGATTCTGCCTACAACGCGTGAAATAAGGAAAAAAGAAAAAAAATCGTGCCTTCGACGTTCCGACATTTTGTTACCAAAACGGTTCGTTTACCCCCTTCAATCAATCAAGTTTTTATGATTATTTCACGTTTTTCTATATTTTGCGTAACCAGGACAGTGAATTTTCTTCATTTTTCTTCAAACATTTTGTCTTACCAATATTTATTATATCTCTCAATTTCAAGAAAATCGCACTATAATCCAAATTATATCATTTTTCCCATTGAACTCCATTATAAAAATGGGATTCTCAAACTTAATATTTTAAAATTCTATGTGGTGGAAAGTTGCATATTGAGTAGTTAGTTAATGTTATGGTGTAAAAAATTCAAAACAAAAAGGAATAAAGAAAAAATGCCACGGAGAAGTCTCATTAACATCTCTTTAATCTTGGAATGAATGACATTTGTTTTCATATTAAGCGGAGGGTGTCTTAGACAGTCTTGTTCAAGCTATGGAGAAAGGGGACACGATAACAGGACAACAGTCCACTAGATACTGAAACACGCTCTACCTGGTTCTCAGTGCAGAGAACATCAGACGCGGGGGGGACCTTGCCAGGATGACCTTGGGAGAGTTCGGGGCTGGGAAGGTCCTCGACGACGGTCGCCTGGATGTGCAAGTAAGTTTGTTTGATAATTTGTGGCATCTTCAAATTTATGTAGGCAATGCAAGACACAATTAGTCTACCAATCATTATGAAATATCTACATAAGATTTTGCAGAGGTACTTCTTTGCCCACAATCCCATACCTATGCTAGGCGTTACATGTTTTTCAATCCAGCTCAACATAAGACAGCTCCTTTCTTTGTTCTCAAGATTGCTCAACACAAGACGGCGTCAACCCAAGAAGCTCATGTCTACATGATGGCAAGGCAGCACAAGGCCATTACAAAGTAATAGCTGGTATGGGCTAACTGATGATGAATGGTTCGCATCATGAAATGACCGCAATTATGGGTAAGCCAGCAGGTTGGCATGCATCTAACTTGGGCTGGCATACTCTTCAACTTCAAGGTATGCATTTGATAGTCAAATTTCTTGCACTCTTAGAAAAATTACTAACAATGAATAGGATGATTTCTCTTCCCTTTCAAATGAATAAGACAAATTATACAGTGTCAAAATCGGAAAAATGATGAGGGCTCTACTTCATGCACAATTGAACACTCAAAGAAAACAAAAACCCCTAAAATCACCATATACTATATTGAAACATTTTGGTGTTAATAAGAGATGATTAAAAGTAACTTATCATAATCCGAATGTGTCTCCAACAAAATGTTAGGCGAGTGAGAAAAGAATGAAAGATGACACACTGCATCAAGGGCAAATGTAAAAATTATAAGCAGATGTGATGGCTTCATCAGGACAAGTTATCATCAAAAGTCATGCCCACAACAAAACTTCCATTTAAAGAGGGACATGGGGTATAAATAAGAGGCAGACTAATGGAACAGCCAAAATAACTATATTTTTGATATTTTCACAAACCTGGTCAATTTTCTCTAATTTTATATTGATTGAGAAAATGTATTGCTTCCAATTTTGTTATGTGTATCTTTCAATGTTTTGATGTTCATATCCTGCAGTTAGATTTTGACTTCATCATCTTGTTAGGTTGTGATAGGACATTTAAAACAATAATAACATTTTTCAAATTTAAAAGTCCTCAAGCTTAGCCAACCAAAATCAAGTATTAAACAATGCTGTTAATTAAACTTACTAATCCTGACTTTCTGTGCCATGTTAAAGTGTGGATGTAACCTGATATTTTAATGGGAGTTGCTAGCAACTTTAAAACTGGCCTTTAAGTTCACTGGGTCCAAAGAATCTCGGAGGAAAAACAAAAAACTCTAAATAGTGGGGTCAGTTAGCTGTTCAATTGCACTTGCTATATATAAAGCAACATTTTCCTGAAATAAGTATCATTAATACATATATTTTTGATATCTAACGAAGTGGTGTTGAAAAGTGGCCCCAGTTGAAAATAGCAGGCCTCGAAAATTTTGCTCATTTACATTGAGCTCTATGTTAATTTATCAATCTTCAAAAGACCCCCTGCAGAACAGTTTTTGAAAAATAATGCCCATTCTCCTAGTATGTTACAATAACATGATTATCTACAAAATAAGAAGGGTTAAATTTTTTCTTTTACCTAGTTCCAAAGATATTGACGTTTGAATTTTGGAAATTCCCCATTGGCTGCCATTATAAACAGCTATCAATATGGCTTTGCTAAAGTGTCCTTTTCTCAAAAAGTCCACTGTGATTTTTTTTAATATTGCAGATTTCTATAGTTGATATATTGATTTTAAAAAAATCAAACAGGTACATTTCTAAAAATTTCTTATTTTTGATATATTTAGCCGTTAAAAACTATAAAAACCTATATTGAGCCCCATGTTAATTTATGAATCTTCAAAAGACTCCCTGCAGAACACTTTTAGAGTAATAATGCTCATTCTCCTAGTATATTACAATAACATGACTATCTTCAAAATAAGAAGGGTTAAATTTTTTTATTTTACCTAATTCCAAAGATATTGAGGTTTTAATTTTTGGAAATTCCCCATTGGCTGCCATTATAAACGGCTATCAATATTGCTTTGCTAAAGTGTCCTTTTCTCAAAATGTCCAATGTGAAATTTTCTAATATTGCAGATTTCTATAGTTGATATATCGATTTTAAAATAATCAAACAGGTACATTTCTTAAAATTTCTTATTTTTGATATATTTAGCCATTAAAAACTGTATTGCGCCCAGTGATAATTCATCAATTTTCAAAAGATCCCCTGCAGGGCAGTTCAAAAGTGATAAGTCCATATTCCTAGGATGTTACAATAACACAACTCTCTTCAATATAAAAAGGATTACATTTTTCTTTTGCCTAGTTCCAAAGATATAGACGTTTGAATTTTGGAAAAAAACATCAATTTGGCTGCCATTATAAACGCCTATCAATGTGGCTTTACTAAAGTGTCATTTTCTCAAAAAAGTCCACTATGGAATTTTCTAATATTATAGAATTCTATAATTAATATGTTGATTTAAAAAAATCAAACAGGCACATTTCAGAATTTATTTTATTTTTAATATATTTAGCCATTAAAAAATAAAAAATTTATATTGTGCTAGTTTATCAATCTTCAACTAAATGGCTAGATATTTTAAAAATAAGAACTTTTCAGAAAGGTACGTGTTCGATTTCTTTTTAAAAACAACATATTAACCATACAAATCTACAATATGAGGAAATTCCATAAGGGACTTTTTGAAAATAGGACACTTTAGAAAAGCCATATTGATAGCGGTTTATAATGGCAGCCAAGAGGTATTTTCAAAAATTCAAAGGCAAATATTTTTGGAACTAGGTAAAAGAAAAAACTCTAACCCTTCTTATTTTGAAGATAATCATGCTATTGTAACAGAATGAGTTAATGGGTATTATTACTCTAAAACTGTTCTGCCTGGGGTCTTTTGAAGATTGATATATTAACATGGGGCTCAATATAGGTTTTTACAGTTTTTAACGGCTAAATGTATCAAAAGTAAGACATTTTTAGAAATGTACCTGTTTGATTTCTTTTAAATCAGTATTTCAACTATAGAAATCTGCAATATTAGAAAATTTCACAGTGAACTTTTTGGGAAAAGGACACTTTAGAAAAGCCATACTGATAGACGTTTTATAATGGCAGCCAATGGGGAATTTCCAAAATTCAAACATCAATATCTTTGGAATTAGGTAAAAGAAAAAATTTAACCCTTCTTATTTTGAAGATAATCATGTTATTGTAACATACTAGGAGAATGAGCATTATTCCTCTAAAACTGTTCTGCAGGGGGTCTTTTGAAGATTGATAAATTAACATAGGGCTCAATATACGTTTTTATAGTTTTTAATGACTAAATATATCAAAAATAAGAACTTTTTAGAAATTTACCTGTTTGAATTTTTTAAAATCAATATGTCAACTATAGAAATCTGCAATATTAGAAAATTTCACAGTGGACCTTTTGAGAAAAGGACACTTTAGCAAAGCCATATTGATAGCGGTTTATAATGGCAGCCAATGGGGAATTTCCAAAATTCAAACCTCAATATCTTTGGAATTAGGTAAAAGAAAAAAATTAACCCCTCTTATTTTGAAGATAATCATGTTATTGTAACATACTAGGAGAATGAGCATTATTACTCTAAAACTGTTCTGCAGGGGGTCTTTTGAAGATTCATAAATTAACATAGGGCTCAATATAGGTTTTTATAGTTTTTAATGACTAAATATATCAAAAATAAGAAATTTTTAGAAATGTACCTGTTTGATTTTTTTAAAATCAATATATCAACTATAGAAATCTGCGGTATTAGAAAATTTCACAGTGGACTTTTTGAGAAAAGGACACTTTAGCAAAGCCACATTGATAGCCGTTTATAATGGCAGCCAATGGGGAATTTCCAAAATTCAAACGCCAATATCTTTGGAAATAGGAGAAAGAAAAAATTTAACCCTTCTTATTTTTAAGATAATCAGGATATTGTAACATCCTGGGAATATGGGCTTTATTTCTATAGAACTGTACTGCAGGGGGTCTTTTGAAGATTGATAAATTAACATGGGGCTCAATGTAAATATGCAAATTTTTCGAGGACTGCTATTTTCAACCGGGGCCAATTTTCAACACCACTTTGTTAGATATCAAAAATATAAGCATTAATGATACTTAGGTCAAAAAATTGTGCTTTATATATAGCAAGTGCAATTCAAGGGTTTTATTGTCATAACTGACTGCACTAAAAATTACCATACGCTCTATAAAAACATTGTGTTGTTAATTAGAGACAGTAACTTAACATAATCCATTTGTGTTTCTCACAAGATCTAAGAGACACAGTTGAAGGATGACAGAAGTCAAAATAAGCAGATGTGATGGCTGTCAGTACAGGGATGGAATATAGTGCTGTTTGAAGCCAAAAACTTGCAATGTCTTTAACTAGATGTGACAAAATCATAGGTGAGACAATTATATGCAATACTTCTTGATAAAGCCATATCAACCTGTCTCGTTTTATCTTTACTAAAACAATGTGCCAATCTTTCAAAGAGACAATTACAGGCAACTTATCGTACTTCACATGTGACTGTGATGCGAGTGAGAAAAGAGTGAAGGGTGACAGACTGTACCAAGCGCATATGCAAAAATAAGCAGATATGATGGCTGTCAGTACAGGGATAGAATATAATGCTGTTTGGAACCAAAAACTTGCAACACCTATAACTAGATGTGACAACATCATAGGTAAGACGATTGTATGAAATCCTTCTTGATAAAGCTATCTTGACTTGTTTTAATACTGAAGAATTTGTTTTTCAATCAAAAATCATGCATATTCATGAAAATTCGCAACAGTCATGCACAAGGAATAATTTTAATATAATATCCATTAATATAACTTCTTGAACTGATGATGCTTATATAATTTTGATGAATACATCCTATGTCTATGTCTAAGAAAAAGTAGATTGAATATTTTTATTCATTCCCAGGATCTTGACTACTCTTGAATAGTAGTGAACTGCAATTTGGACATTCTTCATCACCCTCATCATTCACGAAATGTCATTGTTATTCTTCAATAGTAATCATTATTAGTTTCATGAATGTTGAGGGATTATGAAGAAAGTCCAAATTGCAGTTCGCTACTAATCAAGAATATACAAGGTCCTCGTGATGAATAGAGAGCCGGTCGGGCTGGGGTACAAAGCAGGCGTGGAACTGGCAGGGCTGGCCGAGACCACGAGGTCGAGGTTGGACCGTCGCCGGGACCTTCCCGTGGAATGTCTCAGCTGTGCAGCGTCGTCTCGGCGGCGTTCGCTTCGGCCGGCATTCGACAGCCAACTTAGAACTGGTACGGACCAGGGGAATCCGACTGTCTAATTAAAACAAAGCATTGCGATGGTCGTCGCACGATGTTGACGCAATGTGATTTCTGCCCAGTGCTCTGAATGTCAAAGTGAAGAAATTCAAACAAGCGCGGGTAAACGGCGAAATTAACTATGACTCTCTTAATACAGGGTACATCTGGGTTTAAAAGTAGGCCAGAGGTAAATTAGACTACTTTCTATCTGCACTGCTCATATGCGTTAGAAATGGAGGACATTACCAGCCGCACTCCGCCTCTGCGTGGTCAGAGCCGGGAGGGTGTAACCGCCCTGCTAAAGGAGTGTAAGCGACAGCTCTAGGGTAGAGAGATGATCCTAACACGGTCACATGTCTCTCACCTCAGATCTCAGCCATCAGAGGCTGAGACGTAAAGAGAGGAGCGGGATCTGATCAGTTGTCCCTGATTTGTTGCTGGCGCTATTCCGAGCGTAAGTTTTCCCAGAAATCTCTAGTGGAGAACACTAAGTTCTCCACTCCGGAGGGAGAGGAATAGCCTCTCCCTCCCAAGGCCCTCTCTGCATCCCGCGATGAAGAGAGGGCACAGTTGCCATCGTCACCCAAGGCTGCAAGGCGCTAAACATCACTCTCCATGGGCCAGCGCCCAAGGACCTAGTTCCCAATACCTGTATTTTCATCCTAACAGGTACCCGGATAGAGTGAACAGTGCTCTCATTTTCCAGCTTTTATGAGAGCAGTGCCATCTAAGGCACAAGGGAGTTGCTCCCAAGACAAACAAACATGATCGGAACAGTAAAGAATAAAGCTATGCCTCAGACCCTTAGAGTGATAGGGGGCTCACATGAGGACGAATTTGGGCCATTGCCGACTGGCACAGTTGGAGACGGTCTGTATAGCGATATCACTCAAGGGGATATTGCAAGGACTTCATCGAGTAAGTCAGTGGGTCCAATATCTCCGGTTTGCACACCCACCCCAAGGTGCCGGGTGCAGTTGCGCTTTGGGTCATTGATTGTCAGAAGAAAGAATCTGCACAGGCCAGACAAACCCCAGTTTGTTCTGGATGGGAGGGGTTGTCACAAGCTAGGAAGAAGAGTAGCTGTGGCGGTTCCCCGGAAACTGGACCTCAGTACAGGAACAGTTGACGGAGAACCAGAAACGGTACAGCCTCGGACCGTAGTCGAAGCTATATATTTATATAATAAAACCCCAAATGAAGCTGAGACAAAAGGCCCGACTAAACACGACTCTGTTGGTAGACCCGAACAAGGTGGTTCAAGGGATTACGTAACTTCAAACAAATCCCCGGGGTCTAGAGGTGAGAGGAAGGGTACGAGCCCAATAATAGAGAATGCCGGACACAAAGCTCTTAGGGCGGGCTAAAAGTCGGTGACTGGGCAAACACCGGCTCGAGCCAAAAGGGGACTTTCTAGTACCACCGGAAAGAAAGTTCCTTCCAGCGGGGAGGCCACACCATCGGGCAGACCTCTGGAGAAACCGAACGTTGAGCGAGTTCGAGCCAAAACGGGGAAGCCAGCAGTTCACTCCGCAACCAAGGGCACACAAACGCCACCGGCCGCGGGGATGGGAACAGAAAGGCCAACCCAAGCAGGCGAGAACGTACCCACCGTTAATCCTGAGCCTGCAGGTAAGGCGACACCGAAGGCGATGGAAGCGGAGGAAGATTGTGCGCTACGACCTGAGAGTCTGGTTCCGATTGATCAATTGGTTCAGGACGAAGAGGACGAGCACAGGGGTATCAATATACATCCAGTGGGACTCGAACAAATCTGAGTCGAGCTACCGTTCACGATGAAATCGTGCCCAGGTTGCGGCGAGGGCTTTTTAAATCAAAATTGGTTTGAAAGTCACTGCGTTTAACACGGTGTTAACATTGATTTCCAGTGCGAGAAGTGCTCAAAGGTCTTTCCTACTGCACACGGTGCAGCTGTCCACAGGGGTAAATGCAAGAATGGGGGACCATGGCAGGGTCCTACGGTGGAGTTACAATTTGTATGCACTCCATGTGGTCAGGGGTTCAGGACTCAGAGGGGGAAGAGTCAGCAAGAAGTGACCAGGCATCCCGTGCTTAGGAACAGCAAACGCCTGGCCGCACAGAAAGCTGACTTGGAAAGGAAGAGGGAAGGGAGGGCGGCGGCAAGAGGGGTGAGAGGGATTCCTACCTGTAGGACCCGCTCCCCAGGGGAGCCCACCCCAGCTGCGTTGTGGTCCGTTACGGAGGTTGACCGCCTCATTGAGCTAAACTAGATAACGGCAACTCCGCGGAGTAGCAAATCCCAACGAACAGAATATCAATTAGCGAATTCCAATCAATTATACTCATTACTTTGGTTAAAATTGAAAAAATTAGATTTTAAAATTGCGAATTCCTGCAAAGCAGCCATTTTGAATTTTCTGAGATACAAATCTGAAAAATAATACCATAATTGTGATCTACTCCAAAATTCCTTCAATTTGAGTATAATATAGCCATACTTTGAAGGGATCGAAAAATTATTGCGAAATCGTACATTAGACGGCCATTTTGAATTTTACGAGGCTCGAATCAGAAAAAGATAAAATATTTGCAATCTACTCTTAATTGCCTTTCATTTGAGTATAATAAAGCTATACTTTAGAAAGATCTAAAAATTAGCGAAAATTTCTGTTTTTCTGTCCCCCCATACACGGCCCCTGGGGGTCAGGATGAAAAACACAGAATATATGTGAAATAGATAAATGTTGTGAAAATACTACCAAAATTTCAAACAATAATATTAATTACTTTGGTTCAGAATGAAAAATTTATGATTTTTGCGAAAAAGTCCCGTCATTTTTAAAGCGGCGGCCATCTTGAAAAATTTTTTTTTTGCGTAAAACTATTCACCAATATACATCTTTCCACTAAATATGAAGAAAATCCGTCTACTAGTATTTGAGTTATCTTCCGGACAGACGGACGGACTGACGGACGGACAGACGGACGGACGGACGAAGGGCTTCACTATATCCCTACCGAACTTCGTTCGTTGGGATAATGAAACCTGTAAGGGTAACAGGAGGATAAATGTGGCGATCAGCGGCCGTCTCTGGACCAAAACACGTCAGCAAGTGAGTCACAAACGGAGACTGCTTGGCCTGATTGCACGAAGACAACCAGCACAGGCCGACCCTGACCCTGAGATCCCTGAGGTACGAGAGGAGGTGGTTGTCGAACCCCATCTCCAATTCGTAGTAGAAGACGACTTGAGAACTGAACTCGGAAAGACCGACTCAGGACGGGAATGGTTAGACATCTTAGAGACCATGACAGCCGAAACCCCAAACGGCCGGGGCGATGTCTTGGTTAATGAGGTGGTCAAAACATGGAGAGCTCTGGAGGACGCGGAAAGCAAGAAGGCCAAGCCAAAGACTAGGAGGGTCAAGGTGAAGCCTAAAAGCAAGAAACGGTCTCCAGTCAGGGGCAAAGTTGAGCTAAGGAAGGAATTTCGGCGGGTTCAGGGCCTATATTCTCAGAATAGGCGGAAGCTGGCGGCAGAAATTCTGGATGAGTCGAAGTCAGCCGGGTGTCCTATCGCACCTGACAAGGTGGAAGAAGTCTATCAGGGAAGATTGGCGAAGGAATCTATGAGGGTAGATCTTTCACCGTTCCCCAGGCCATCGGGGAACATTGACAACGACTCGGTACTTGCTCCTTTCCCCTTGACCGAAGTGAGGAAAGCTCTTGGTAGATTAAAGAAGGACACAGCCAAAGGTCAGGATGGGGTGGGAGTACGAGGGGTCTTGAAAGCAGACCCAAAGGGAGCAATCTGTACAGGGATTGTTAATCTGTGGCTGTTCACGGGAAATGTCACCGAAGTTGTGAAAGCCAACAGATCTCTACTCCTGCCCAAGAAAGATCCAACGTCGACGGATGTTGGAAATTGGCGCCCGCTCACGATTGCGTCAGTCCTTCTGCGGCTCTATACCAAGTTGTTGGCTAAGCGGCTCCTCGGTGCAACACCTCTCTCCCCGCGGCAGAGAGGTTTCATCAACGCTGCCGGTTGCGATGAGAACCTGGTCCTAGTGAGGGCGCTAGTGAAAGAGGCTAAGGCCAAGGGACGACTAGCGGTAGCATTCCTGGACCTTGCGAAGGCCTTCGACGTAATCTCTCACCATCACTTAGTTGAGGGTCTAGGTAGATTCAATGCTTCAGGTAGGCTCGTCAGGCTTGTAAAGGATCTTTACAAGGGCGCGATGACAACCTTCTCTCTTCCTGGTGGTGACACCGGGAAGATACCCATAACTTCTGGGGTAAAGCAGGGTTGCCCACTCTCACCGGTCCTGTTCAACATTGCGTTGGACCCGCTGTTCTGCCTTTTGGAGGAGTGAGGAAAGCAGAAGACCCTCGGCGGCAAAAGTGTAGCTTTTCACATTAGTTGAGAACTTTTGTACCGCTACGGGTCTGAAACTTAACGTGAGGAAGTGTGCAGCGTTCCTTATTAGGAGGAGCGGGGGATCCTTCATAATAAACGACGGGAGACCATTACTATCAAATGGTGAGGCAGTACCTTGGATAAGTCCCGGAGAGACTTACCAATATCTGGGGGGGAAGGTGGCAAACTGGGTGTTCCGTGAGGGTTCATCAATGATGCTTCTTCACAAGTGGATGAGGAACCTAGGCAAGGCTTTTCTCAAACCCCTACAAAAGCTAGCAATGGTGTGCGAGGTTGTGGTACCTAGGATAGTGGCTAAGCTTGGGGCGAGGGAAAAGGCTCCAGCCAAGAGGGAGTTAGGAAGGTTGGACAAAGAGATACGATCGTGGCTTAAAAAGTGGCTCCACTTGTCACAGGATGTTGCAACCGACTTCTTCTACACCAGAAGATCCGACGGTGGGCTCAGAGTACCTTGTCTAAAGGACGTGGTTCCAATAAAGAGGGTATGTGCAAAGCTCATGTGCCTATCCTCTAAAGATGATACCATAGAGGGCATAGCAATCGCCTGTGGGGTTGATGGAGAAGCTCAAAGGGAAGCGAAAGCTGCGGGACTTCCTTTTCCTCTTAGGAAGAGACCACTTAGAGCTATTAGAAGGGATCACCAAAAGCGGTGGGCGGCTCTGTCTTCTCAATGTAAGAGCGTACGAGCGGCTACGGACAACCGCATCGGGAACAATATCTTTACCCAAAGATCGGCATTGACAACGTCAGAATGCCTAGTTGGGCTCAAGTTGAGAACTAATACGTTTCCTACCAAGGTTCTACTAAAGTTGCGGAAACAAGGTGGGTCTGGACTATGCAGACGATGTGGCAGAGGTCCTGAGACCCTCGGTCTCATCACCGGCTTCTGTGTCTCGGTGAAAGAAGCAAGGATATCACGCCATAACATGGTGGTGAAGAGGGTACAACAACTGGCCGAAAAGAGGGATTTCACCGTGATACGGGAGCCACGCATAAAAGGTGAGGACAACCTGAATTACATGCCAGATCTTGTTCTTGTGAAGGACGGGAGCGCCACCATCGTAGGCCCTACGGTGGTGTGGGACGACAAACCGAGGGCGCTCCTTCAAGCTCACAAGAGCAAGATCGACATGTACCGAGTAATCAAAGGAGCGGTCAAGGCTCTCTGCAAAGTAAAGACAGTGTCACACTGTCTGGTAGTTGTGGGGCGCCGGGGTCTTTGGCCGAAAACGAACAAAGGCATCTGTTCACTCCTCGAAGCTACGAAAATTGGAAGAGGAGTACAGCTCAACTGGTACTCGCGTGAACTGCTCGGCTGGTCGAATTATTTATGGCCCTTTAGACCAGGTTCAGGGGGAAAATGACAGTGGTCGGGTTAGAAGACTTAGCATGACTCCCCCCGTACGAGGGTCGTGGGATACCGCCAACATCCGGGTCGCTGATCACGAAAATTTTTGAGTGGGAAGCTCGTTAATCGTTGAAGGGGTGGTTAGGCCGCTACAGAGTATTGCCTGCTCTCGAAGGGTCGAAAGGACATTTGCGCGTGTCTCCTACAGTAGCCAAATGCCTTGTCATCTAATTAGTGACGCGCATGAATGGATTAACGAGATTGCCACTGTCCCTATCTACTATCTAGCGAAACCACAGCAAAGGGAACGGGCTTTGCAGAATTAGCGGGGAAAGAAGACCCTGTTGAGCTTGACTCTAGTCCGACTATGTGAAGGGACATGAGAGGTGTAGCATAAGTGGGAGCTTCACGGCGCAGTTGAAATACCACTACCCCCATAGTTCCTTTACTTATGAGGTTACGCGGGAAGCGGGCCTTGCGGCCCTCCTTTCTAGCTCCGAAGCGCGGACAGCCTCCGGTCGTCGGCGCGACCTGTTGTCCTCGGACGGAGTTTGACTGGGGCGGTACATCTGTCAAAAGGTAACGCAGGTGTCCTAAGGTGAGCTCAGTGAGGACGGAAACCTCACGTAGAGCGAAAGGGCAAAAGCTCACTTGATTTTGATTTTCAGTACAAATACAGACCGTGAAAGCGTGGCCTATCGATCCTTTTGATTTTAGGAGTTTTAAGCAAGAGGTGTTAGAAAAGTTACCACAGGGATAACTGGCTTGTGGCAGCCAAGCGTTCATAGCGACGTTGCTTTTGATCCTTCGATGTCAGCTCTTCCTATCATTGTGAAGCAGAATTCACCAAGCGTTGGATTGTTCACCGGTCCTCGACCATCCGCCCCGTCCGGCTGCCTCCACGGTACCGTAGTGGGTTGCGATGGCTTGTCCCTCCCTCCGGGTCGATTGGATGCCGTCGACGGGCGCAGTTCGATCGAGGGGGCGAGCGGGCGGAGGGACGGCCGCTAGATGATGCCGTGTCGGCTAGGCTAGGCGGGCGGGATGGTCGATGGCCGCCAGATGATGCCTTGTCGATTGTCACCGTCAACGAGCCCAGTACGATCGAGCGAGCCAGCGGGCGGAGGGACGGCCGCTAGATGATGCCGTGACGGCTAGGCCGGCGGGATGGTCGATGGCCGGCAACATCATCTCGGCGCTACGCTCTGGCCGCTAGATGATGCCGTGTTGATTGTCACCGTCGACGAGCCCAGTACGATCGAGGGAGCCAGCGGGCGGAGGGACGGCAGAGGCATTGCCATCGACCGCCCCGCCTAACCTAGCCGACACGGCATCATCTACCGTCCCTCCGCCCGCCCGATCGCTCGATCGTTCGCACATGACACAGCATCATCTAGCGGCCAGAGCGTAGCGCCTTGCCTTGGAGGCATTGCAATCGACCGTCCCGCCCGCCTAGCCTAGCCGGCACAGCACCATCTCCCGTC